AAAAAAAAAATGCATTGATCTATGTCACTTTAGTTTTGTGTATTTCACTATACATAAATTATATTTCAATAAAATACATTATAAAAAAGTAACTGCATTTACAAAAAAAAAAAACTGAACTGCAATTTGTTAACCCTTTCGCATGACTCATAGGTCATATAGTGCCCACCTACATTTTCTACCTCTGGGGTTTAGTGAGAACTGCTATCCCATTTTCAGTGTGCACTGCCATCTGGTGGGGGCCTGTACATGAATCTGAAGAAACAAACCTCATCCCAGCAACCCCAGTACCAGAGATCCCTCAGGACATATGTTTCCCAATGATTGTATCAAAATCCACATTACCTCAAAAAATATTTTTCCACTTCATTCAAAATGCCTTCCGTTACTGAAAAAATATGGCTTCAACAAAATATTCAAAGCAGAAAACAATTTGGTCTTGAAAGGGTTAAAAATGAATGCTAGGAAAACTGGTACATCCATACAACGGAGTATTGTTTAGCAGTAAAAAGAAATAAACTATCAAGGTAGAAAAAGACATGAAGGAACCTGGAATGTATATTGCTACGTGAAAGAAGTCAGTCTGCAAAAGCTACATTCTGTAGAACTCCAAATATGATATTCTGGAAAAAACACAACCATAGAGAGGGTAAAAAGAGCAGTAGTTTTCAGGGGCTCAAGAGGAAGAGAGAGAGGTGAATAAGTGGAGGCTAGGATATTTTAAGGGCAAAGAAATTATTCTGAATGATGTAATGGTGGACACATTACATATTGTCAGAACCCACAGGACTGTACAACACAGAGTGAACCGTAATATAAACTATAAACTTCAATTAATAATACAATATAGTATCAGAACTGCAGTATTGTATCAATACAAGAATAATGTATCAGTACTGATTCATTGGTTGTAACAAATGTACCACAGTAATGCAAGACGTTAGTAATTGGAGAAACTGTGTGCAGGAGGGAGAGGATATGAGAAATTCTCTGTACTTTCTGCCCAAGTTTTCTGTAAACCTATAACTACTCTAAAAAATAAAGTCTATTTTTCAAATGGAATGTTAGAATCATGACCTATTACAAGATTCATAATCTGTAGATTTTCCAAAATTCATAACAACTTTGATATAGTTTCATGAAAAAATAGGTTACCAAAGATAGAGAGTGATCCATATTTTTTAAAGAAACTGAAGTCATTTATATGTAGATACTGTGAGACACTGGTAGGTCCATGGGAGAATTCTCACCCCCCATGCAGGGGACTGAATTCTCAACCAATGCACCTCCACTGTCAGTGGAGGCTTCCAGGTTGCTGTGATGCTAAAAGTTTTCAGTAGAGATTCAGACTGACAGATTAGGAAGAAAGAAATGGTAATTTCCTTCTGAAAATCAGCCAGTGAAAACACTCTGGATCACAATGGTCCCATCTATAAGTCATCATGGGCATGGAGCAAGACGAAGCAGGGACTCCCTTGTTCATGGAGTCACCACGAGTCAGGGGCCTACTGGATGGCACCACGAGTCAGGGGCCAACACATAGCTGTTGATGGTAGAGTGTGTTTGAGAGCAGTACATGGGGGTGATGTGAGCAGAGATGAGGCATATGTGTGGGGATAGGAGGTTATGTGGGGAGTGCATGTGGAATGTTGGAAAGAGTGTGAGGTATCTATTAGTGTGTATGTACATGTGTGCTTGCTCTCAGAGTCCTGGATACAGTGGAAAGCTGCAGGGGTGCTTGGAGTTTCCAAACCTCAGAGTTTGGTATTGAAGGAAAAAAGGAATGGGGGACTCTCTTTTTGCCTTCTATCCCTTTCCTTCCCCAAAACTCTTAATGGTGTTTAAGGTCAGATCTGGTTTTAATCCTAGTCCAAAACATAGAAACAAGAGGCATCTTGGCTAAGTTATTTAACCCCCTGACATCACTTTCTCACCTGTAAAAATGAAAAAAAAAAAGGGGGTGGGGGTGGGGGGGATAATTTTTAGACTCCATACAGGGCTGGGTACAGTATAACACGTAGCAGACATGCAATAAATGGCAGCTTAAAGAGAATTCTAGCTCTTTACACAAAACTGATCCCAAAAGGAAATTGCACATTGGCAACAGAATAACCTCCAGCAAAACACATTTTTTTAAAACATATCCATCTTCCATGGCTTCTTTATTTTTAACAGGGGTTTGTTTTGTTTTGTTTTTTGTAGAGTTTACAAACAATTCTCAATTATCTGTGGCTTTTGTGAATAACAAGAGTGAAAACATGAAATCCACAGGACGATTTTCCCCAATGATTTCAACCAATGAGACTTTTCTAAGCACCCTCACCTGCAAAAAATAAATTGCCCTTCCTGTGCCCTGTGCCCCTTCTGACAAGATGCTCAGGGGCTGAGAATTGGCCAACAATCCTGCCAGGAAGACATACAGCAAGAAAGCCAGGCTTGTGAGTTGAGGGCAACGTGCCCTGTGTAAGTTTGCAGCTGGAAGCCTTGGTAACCTATTTGTCTTTAACAACAACATCAATCATATTTTAAGTCATTATGTGGCTCTTTTAAAATTGTTTTTGTAATTATAGGCAATTTAGGAAGTAATTTAGAATGATAAAGCAAATATTTAGTTAAATATAAGATCTATGTTATTTTACAAGTTATCTGAAGTGCTTCTTAAACAATGAAAAAGTAATTTTGAAATCTAGTCACAATCACCCAGAGATTTTCTCTTCTCTCCCTACTGTATACTGTCCTGCTATAAGTCAGAGACAACTTTAATGAATTACAAGAATATTGCAAAAGTGTTTATGCGCTTACAAAGGAAAGTAGTGCATAGCCCTTGTTTTCACAGTTGTGTTCTCGTAGCCTCTCTAGCGCTTCCTTGCTGATACTATGCCAGCTGTGGAGTTACCCTACTTGAATTGTGTTGTGTTCTCACCTACTCTAACTGCTTGCTGGGTGCTGCTGGATATAGATGCGACTCCCTAAGCACGGGACTGGCTACATGCAGGGGACCTCAGGCTTTATTAGGAACCTTCTTGTGGTTGTTGTCATAACTAACACCACCAATGCCCTCGAGTATATTCATAGGCAGCGGAAACACAATAGTGGAATTCTTCTCCGTGGCTACAGTGGTCAAGGTTTGCAAGTATCGCAGCTGCAGAGCTATAGGGGACTCCGCCAGCACCATGGAGGCGGATTTGAGAGATTTGGAAGCATTCATTTCTCCTTCTGCTGCAAGGACCTAGAACAACAGAAATAAAATGTTCAGAAAAAAAAGTTTGCTACCAGGGCTGTTGCTTGCCATTGGGTAGACTCCTTTGACTCACTGAGGTGACCTTATGTATAACAGAAGAAAGCTTTGCCCGGCCTTGAGCCATCTGCATAATCTTTGTTATATCTTGTTGTTAGTTGTCATCTAGTAGATTCCTAATCATGGCGAGCCTCTGGGGGCAGAATAGAATGACTCCATAGAGTTTTCAAGGTAGTGACCTTTGGAAGCAGATTGCCCGGTATGTTGCGGAGGAGCTGCTCAGAGGTTCAAGCTACCAACCTTTCAGCTAGTAATTGATCATGAAACCATCTGTACCACACAGGAACTCTTGGTATACTTTTGTTGTTGTTGCTAGGTGCCATCGAGTTGGCTCCAACTCATAGTGACCCCATGTACAACAGAATAAAACACTACCTGGTCCTGCGCCAGCCTCACAATACTGTTATACGTGAGCCCATCGTTGCAGCCGCTGTGTCAATCCATCTCATTGAGGATCGTCCCCTTTTTTGTTGACCCTCCACTTTACTAAGCATGATATCCTTCTGGGTCCATACTGGTACATTTCATCCAACCCACACTTTGCTACACGTGTTTCATCTACTTCTTCGGCAAGGATAAGACTTTTAAATCATAATGTGATTAAAGAAATGGTAGAAGGTTGCAGGAAGCAGAAGAGGTCTTTTACAAACCATGAGTCCCTGGATTTCATTTTCAAATAGGAATAAAAGCCCCACCTTTAACACAATGCATACTTAGCTATCTACCCTGGTAATGCTCTTGGATACTTTGCAACTCATAATCTGTGGCATTCCTTTTAATAGAAGTCAGAAATTCAAGACTTTCATCTGGCTTTATTGTTGTTTTTACTTATCACAGGACATGTTTTTATTTCATTCGGTTGGCAAATTAGTTTCATGCATACTATTTAAGAATGTTTCTTTGTTCTTTCAGCTTTTTATGACAGTGCCAATCTGACAACACCTATTGGAAATCTCTTAAAGATTCCCACTGCTCTTAGTGTTCACAGATTTTCCAAAGAATGACTTGGAGCTCTGCTGCGCCAACAGTACTCACTGCCCTCCTGGCCAGCACAGCCAAGTTCATTGCTTTCTGCTGCTGGAGATTAGCAGATAAGGAAAGAGGGCAGAGAAAAAAAAAAAAGAAAAAAAAACACTTCATTGGTGCAACTGGGTCTACAAAGGCTTCCAATCTCAATCTCCCAAGGAACCTTGATTGGACTAGAAGCTGCAATCTTTCAATTAGCAACCGAGCACATTAACTGCTTGTACCGTCCAAGGACTACCTTTCGTTATATAAAGGTTGTTATGTTGTTATTTGCCGTCGAGTCGGCCCCGACTCATAGCGACCCCTCCTTGGGTTTCCAAGGCAGTTATCACTACGGAAGTAGGATTGCCCAACCTT